CAAGCCCTACCAGGCATCCTACAACCTCCTCGCCATTGATTTTGGATCACTTATTGTTCCCTTGTCCCTAGGTTGGTTAACACCCACTTCCTTTTCCCCACTTCCCCCTCTCCCATGTCTCCCTGAACCATTGGTCCCGTTGTTTTCTACTCGATTGTTCATCCCACCTATCTTATGTAGATAGACCTGCAGAGATAATAATATACACAAAAAACAAGACAGAGCAAAACAAAGCAACAAAACACCAATGACAAAAAAAAATGCCTGTAAATAGTTCAAGGTCTGTTTGCTGACCTTTAGGATTGTTTTCCGGTGAGTCTGATAGGGTGCCACGCCCTGGTCCCAAAGTCTTTTTCTGGTACTCCATCAGGACTTCCTTGCTCCCCTCCCCTTGCTGTTCAGCTGTCATGTGGCTATTTCGCCAGGATGAGTTTTACCAATGGTGTCCCGCTTTACCAATGTTAAAATCTGGTCACCTTACTCTGAGTGACAAGGCTGTCTTCCTGCTCCTGCGAAGAGCTACCACCTGGGCAGTTCTACCCTGTCCTGAGGGCCACTATGCATCGGAATTTGTGTTATGGGAGTAAATTGAATGCCAGAGGGGACCCTGGAGATGATTTGATCTAGCCTTTCAAATTCATGCGTGAGGATTCTGAGGCCTGGTGGCAGTTACATCCATATATACTCGAGTATAAGCCGACCCGAATAACAGCCGAGGCACCTAATTTTACCACAAAAACTACATTTTTTTAAAATATGCTGAAAAACTCAGCTTATATCCCAGTATATATGGTAATCTTTTGTCACCTTGTGAAGGGGTGGAGTCTAGCCTGTCAATTAGGTCGCACCTTGACCTCATTTTGGAGATGCTGAGACAAATAGCTCAAATGGAAGCCAGATACACTCATTCCCTAAGACATTACTGAGGAGGATGAGCCTGATGGAGTTACGTTGATTCAGCCAGAGCCTTGGAGCTGGAGGAGCCACGTGAAGACCCACGCAAGAGCTAAGATGCTTCTACCACCACTGGATCCACAAGCCTTTCCACCACCGGCCTCTGATCTTCCTGCACTTGGCATCATTACATGTGGCATGTGAGTCTGAAATGTACAGACTGGTACTGGGCATATGGGCTAATATCGGACTTATGGACTTGATCTGGACTGGGCTGTTTTTTAATGTACAATTACTCTTTATATAACGCTCCTTCCTATACAAATGAGGGTCTATCAATTTGTTTCTCTACTCTACCCAGACTAACACAGGCCCAGTCCCTTAAGGTAACTTGGGGCTTTCTATTCCATCTGATATATATATAGCTGAGATGGTATTTTTTCTTAAAATCAGAGTGATGTCTCATTACTACCCCACCCTACCCCAAAGTTCTGAACTTCAAAACAAAACCAAAAAAACAAGTTTGCTGGGTACCAATTAAAACTACAAATCCTTATCCTGGCTCCACAGCCCCAGACTACCTTTGCTTGCTTTACTGATCCTCCTCCTCTTCCTCCTTTCTGCTGCTGTTGTGAGGTGCCATGGAACTGGTTCTGATTCTGAACTGGTTCTGACTCGGAGGGACCCTCTGTACAACAGAAGGAAGCCTGCCCTAGCCTGCACCATTCTCACCATTGTTTTGACGACGAGCCCATGTTGCACCCACTGGGTTGATTCACCTGTTGAGGGCCCCTCTACCAAGCATGATGTGCTTCTCTGGGGTCCAGTTTCTCCTGACGTGTCCAGTGTACATGAGACAAAGTATTGCCATCCTTGCCTCTAAGTAGTTCTGGCCATCCTTCTCCGATTTATGCTTGTGGCAGTCTGTGGTAGTTTCCACATTCATCGCCAGCATCCCATTTCAAATACCTTTTTGGGAGGGGGTGGGCGGTTTTATTGAATGTCCAAATTTCACATGCATACATGGCTGTGTGCTGAGCAAATAATCAGAGAAAATGGATTCTGTGAAGAGGAATAAGGCATTAGAATTGGAGCAAGGCTTAGCAACAACCTGTGGTATACAGATGGCACGACCTTGCTTGCTGAAAGCAAGGAGGACTTGGATCACTTTCTGGTGAGGATCAAGGATTGTACGTGTTTTGTCAAGAAAATAAAAATAGGTAACATGACAAGAAATGGACAAAAGATTGACTTTGTCAAGGATTTCGCTTTGCTTAGCCCTACAATCAATGCTCATGGAAGTAGCAGTCAAGAGATCAAATTATGCATTGCATTGGATAAATCTGATTGTATTAGTCTAGGTACTTTAGAGAAACAAATCCACAGCAACTCAT